GTATGTATGTATACCGTTACACACCTTGTCTACACAATCAGTCCCACATCACTAGACACTACAAGGTAGACACATCTAGTGTACGTTGTATGTATATATATACCGTTACACACCTTGTCTACACAATCAGTCCTCACATCACTAGACACTACAAGGTAGACACATCTAGTGTACGTTGTATGTATGTATATACCGTTACACCTTGCCTACACAATCAGTCCTCACATCACTAGACACTACAAGGTAGACACATCTAGTGTACGTTGTATGTATGTATATACCGTTACACACCTTGTCTACACAATCAGTCCCACATCACTAGACACTACAAGGTAGACGCATCTAGTGTACGTTGTATGTATATATATACCGTTACACACCTTGTCTACACAATCAGTCCTCACATCACTAGACACTACAAGGTAGACACATCTAGTGTACGTTATGTGTATATACCGTTACACACCTTGTCTACACAATCAGTCCTCACATCACTAGACACTACAAGGTAGACACATCTAGTGTACGTTGTATGTATATACCGTTACACACCTTGTCTACACAATCAGTCCTCACATCACTAGACACTACAAGGCAGACACATCTAGTGTACGTTGTATGTATATACCGTTACACACCTTGTCTACACAATCAGTGCTCACATCACTAGACACTACAAGGTAGACACATCTAGTGTACGTTGTATGTATATACCGTTACACACCTTGTCTACACAATCAGTCCTCACATCACTAGACACTACAAGGTAGACACATCTAGTGTACGTTGTATGTATATACCGTTACACACCTTGTCTACACAATCAGTCCTCACATCACTAGACACTACAAGGTAGACACATCTAGTGTACGTTGTATGTATGTATATACCGTTACACACCTTGTCTACACAATCAGTCCTCACATCACTAGACACTACAAGGCAGACACATCTAGTGTACGTTGTATGTATATACCGTTACACACCTTGTCTACACAATCAGTGCTCACATCACTAGACACTACAAGGTAGACACATCTAGTGTACGTTGTATGTATATACCGTTACACACCTTGTCTACACAATCAGTCCTCACATCACTAGACACTACAAGGCCGACACATCTAGTGTACGTTGTATGTATGTATATACCGTTACACACCTTGTCTACACAATCAGTCCTCACATCACTAGACACTACAAGGCAGACACATCTAGTGTACGTTGTATGTATGTATATACCGTTACACACCTTGTCTACACAATCAGTCCTCACATCACTAGACACTACAAGGTAGACAATCTAGTGTACGTTGTATGTATGTATATACCGTTACACACCTTGTCTACACAATCAGTCCTCACATCACTAGACACTACAAGGCAGACACATCTAGTGTACGTTGTATGTATATACCGTTACACACCTTGTCTACACAATCAGTCCTCACATCACTAGACACTACAAGGTAGACACATCTAGTGTACGTTGTATGTATATACCGTTACACACCTTGTCTACACAATCAGTCCTCACATCACTAGACACTACAAGGCAGACACATCTAGTGTACGTTGTATGTATGTATATACCGTTACACCTTGTCTACACAATCAGTCCTCACATCACTAGACACTACAAGGCAGACACATCTAGTGTACGTTGTATGTATGTATATACCGTTACACACCTTGTCTACACAATCAGTCCTCACATCACTAGACACTACAAGGCAGACACATCTAGTGTACGTTGTATGTATATACCGTTACACACCTTGTCTACACAATCAGTCCTCACATCACTAGACACTACAAGGTAGACGCATCTAGTGTACGTTGTATGTATATACCGTTACACACCTTGTCTACACAATCAGTCCTCACATCACTAGACACTACAAGGCAGACACATCTAGTGTACGTTGTATGTATATACCGTTACACACCTTGTCTACACAATCAGTCCTCACATCACTAGACACTACAAGGTAGACACATCTAGTGTACGTTGTATGTATATACCGTTACACACCTTGTCTACACAATCAGTCCTCACATCACTAGACACTACAAGGCAGACACATCTAGTGTACGTTGTATGTATATACCGTTACACACCTTGTCTACACAATCAGTCCTCACATCACTAGACACTACAAGGTAGACGCATCTAGTGTACGTTGTATGTATATACCGTTACACACCTTGTCTACACAATCAGTCCTCACATCACTAGACACTACAAGGTAGACACATCTAGTGTACGTTGTATGTATATATATACCGTTACACCTTGTCTACACAATCAGTCCTCACATCACTAGACACTACAAGGTAGACACATCTAGTGTACGTTGTATGTATGTATATACCGTTACACACCTTGTCTACACAATCAGTCCTCACATCACTAGACACTACAAGGCAGACACATCTAGTGTACGTTGTATGTATATACCGTTACACCTTGTCTACACAATCAGTCCTCACATCACTAGACACTACAAGGTAGACGCATCTAGTGTACGTTGTATGTATGTATATACCGTTACACACCTTGTCTACACAATCAGTCCCACATCACTAGACACTACAAGGCAGACACATCTAGTGTACGTTGTATGTATGTATATACCGTTACACACCTTGTCTACACAATCAGTCCTCACATCACTAGACACTACAAGGCAGACACATCTAGTGTACGTTGTATGTATGTATATACCGTTACACACCTTGTCTACACAATCAGTCCTCACATCACTAGACACTACAAGGCAGACACATCTAGTGTACGTTGTATGTATGTATATACCGTTACACCTTGTCTACACAATCAGTCCTCACATCACTAGACACTACAAGGCAGACACATCTAGTGTACGTTGTATGTATGTATATACCGTTACACACCTTGTCTACACAATCAGTCCTCACATCACTAGACACTACAAGGCAGACACATCTAGTGTACGTTGTATGTATATACCGTTACACACCTTGTCTACACAATCAGTCCTCACATCACTAGACACTACAAGGCAGACACATCTAGTGTACGTTGTATGTATATACCGTTACACACCTTGTCTACACAATCAGTCCTCACATCACTAGACACTACAAGGTAGACACATCTAGTGTACGTTGTATGTATGTATATACCGTTACACCTTGCCTACACAATCAGTCCTCACATCACTAGACACTACAAGGCAGACACATCTAGTGTACGTTGTATGTATGTATATACCGTTACACCTTGTCTACACAATCAGTCCTCACATCACTAGACACTACAAGGCAGACACATCTAGTGTACGTTGTATGTATGTATATACCGTTACACACCTTGTCTACACAATCAGTCCTCACATCACTAGACACTACAAGGCAGACACATCTAGTGTACGTTGTATGTATATACCGTTACACACCTTGTCTACACAATCAGTCCTCACATCACTAGACACTACAAGGTAGACACATCTAGTGTACGTTGTATGTATGTATATACCGTTACACCTTGTCTACACAATCAGTCCTCACATCACTAGACACTACAAGGCAGACACATCTAGTGTACGTTGTATGTATATACCGTTACACACCTTGTCTACACAATCAGTCCTCACATCACTAGACACTACAAGGCAGACACATCTAGTGTACGTTGTATGTATATACCGTTACACACCTTGTCTACACAATCAGTCCTCACATCACTAGACACTACAAGGTAGACACATCTAGTGTACGTTGTATGTATGTATATACCGTTACACACCTTGTCTACACAATCAGTCCTCACATCACTAGACACTACAAGGCAGACACATCTAGTGTACGTTGTATGTATGTATATACCGTTACACACCTTGTCTACACAATCAGTCCTCACATCACTAGACACTACAAGGCAGACACATCTAGTGTACGTTGTATGTATGTATATACCGTTACACACCTTGTCTACACAATCAGTCCTCACATCACTAGACACTACAAGGCAGACACATCTAGTGTACGTTGTATGTATGTATATACCGTTACACACCTTGTCTACACAATCAGTCCTCACATCACTATACACTACAAGGTAGACACATCTAGTGTACGTTGTATGTATGTATATACCGTTACACACCTTGTCTACACAATCAGTCCTCACATCACTATACACTACAAGGTAGACACATCTAGTGTACGTTGTATGTATGTATATACCGTTACACACCTTGTCTACACAATCAGTCCTCACATCACTAGACACTACAAGGTAGACACATCTAGTGTACGTTGTATGTATGTATATACCGTTACACACCTTGTCTACACAATCAGTCCTCACATCACTAGACACTACAAGGTAGACACATCTAGTGTACGTTGTATGTATATACCGTTACACACCTTGTCTACACAATCAGTCCTCACATCACTATACACTACAAGGTAGACACATCTAGTGTACGTTGTATGTATGTATATACCGTTACACCTAGTGGGTTGTCCAGCCCCCTCAGGACGCTGAGAAGATGGACGACATCCTCTCAGTCACCCATCCTGAGGGATGGCGGATCAAGGAATCGCCTCCTTCCCCCGACCTGGACATGGTCAGTCTGGGCATTGACCTGGAGCCCCTCGTGGAGAGTCTAACCCCACCTCCTCCACAGCTACACAGGTGGGTGGGTCACTGTGTAACTGGACATTGGTGTAGTGTGTGTGTCTGGGTACAATCAGTGTGGGACTGTACAGTCAATGGTAGCATACATACACACTCGTGGACAAACCTATTGTGTTTGAATCCCCCGATATACATGCTAAAAGGTGTTGAAATTGACAATTGCAGATATTTCTACGATATTTAATATGCAGATATTTGCATAGAGTTTTAGTATTTTATAATACAATATAATGCGGCTTATGATTGTAGAACGACACTTTTTATTGTATTATAAATTACTTTATATAATATTTACGAACGGAAAAATATGTCCAGGGTAGCTTAGTGGACATGGCATCTGCCCGGTAAGCGGAACACTGTGGGTTCGATTCCCATCCCTGAAAACTTTTTATTTTTCCGTTTATCATTACCCTTCACAATTCATCCTATCATACTTCATCCCTAAGATTAGAAATAATCGTTATTTATCCTTAAAATAAATTTCGATTTTTCGTTTAAAAGAAGCACATGCGGGATACTTTTAAAATTGTCGTTTTAGTACAAGTTTCAGTATTGGCTATGTTAATTGACATATCTGCCTATATAGCACGGCCTTGTTGGATTGTTAGTTGGCTAGTGGTTATTGGATAGGACAGGCCGACGTGAGCTGCTGATGTAAATATAATTTGATATCTTTGTTCTTCTTTATTGTTTTATATCTTTAGGTAATAAAGTATTTTCTCTTCTTCGAATCTATAATTTTTGCCAACAAAACGTACAACTACCTTAAGTTTTGTCAGTGAGTGTATATGTTAGATGATGGAATAAATATAAAAACGTTTATTTATTAATGCCTACGAACACGTATCGATTTTGTGGATCCACGAAGGAATCCTGCAAAACTTCTGTGTATCTTTATAATGGTAGGGAAGTTTCCGCCGAACGCTACACCGCGGGATCGAAGCATTTCGAGGGCTTACGGATGTGACGGCCCATTGTAAGCAAGGTGTCCTAGCAGGGTTTCAACACTCAATGGAATGGATGAAAGCCTTCTAAAATGGATTTCTTTTTTAAAGTGAATCTATTTTAAAGTATTTTTTACTTTGTGATCTTTATTACTGTATTGTAGTATAACCGTTGAACGGGACTGCCAATAAATTTGAATCGGCGATTTTTTAAATGTAATTTTGAAAGGTCTCGATTTTGTCCGTTATATGTTATGACTGTTGCATACTGAGATAATATCATGGAAATGTCACGATATTTTGCTCACACAAAGAGCTGTATATTTATTAAATGTTTGTTATTTATATTCATTCTAGTAATAACAAGTAATTCAAATAATAGAGGATCAAAATGCTTTTAGACCACATGTTCCAAGTATAATTAGATCATTTTTAAGTGCAAAAATGGATGAATTATTTGTAAAAACAAATCAAACATTCCAAAGCTTTTTCCCGTTATTTTCCTGTTCTAACTTTTATAATAGCCAGTTTACAACGAACCACGGAAATTTTAAGGGATTTTATCAAAATTTGGAGCGGTTGAGGACTCTAGCTGTCACTGTGGCAAGGAAACCCAGAACTCGAGACACCTACTGCTGGAATGCCCACTCTTCTTTAGCGCTAGACAACAGACAGTAAACAATGTTGTAGATCTATATGAATTTGTGAATACTATATATAATTATCACAGATTTAACCATTTTTGTAAATATATTTATGATTATCTTTCTAACCTGGAAGGATCAGGTTCCTAATATATCTTGTTGTTTTTTTATTTGTTTATTTTTGGTATAATATGTTTATAACTGCTTCTGTTTAAAAATGTAAATCGACGCAATTATCCCTAGCCGGGATATCGCGTTTTGTGTGTTGAAATAAATAAATAGCAAGAGATCAAGTCCACCTTTACTATTCTGTAAATTTCTGAAATGTTCAATATATTTCTTTGACATACATAACAATTCTATTACTAAACATTTACTACTAGCAATTAATATAAATAAACGGTAATATAGACAGACTACTCAGATAGCTATGATGTTGTGGCCTTATCGTGGCATTTAGCTAGGCAGCCATGTAACACTTTATTATGTCCAGGGTAGCCTAGTGGACATGGCATCTGCCCGGTAAGCGGAACACTGTGGGTTCGATTCCCATCCCTGGACACTTTTATTTTTCCGTTTATCATTACTCTTCACAATTCATCCTATCATACTTCATCCTTAAAGTTAGAAATAATCGCTATTTCTCTTTGGGATAAATTTCGATTTTTCGTTTAAAAGAAACATTCGCGGTAAAATTGCAATTTTCGTTTTACTTTATTTTGTAATACAATATAATACGGCTTATGATTGTAGAACGAGATTTGAAAATTATCCCGCATGTGTTTCTTTTGAACGAAAAATCGAAATCTATTTTAAGGAGAAATAACGATTATTTCTAACCTTAGGGATGAAGTATGAAAGGATAAATTGTGAAGAGTAATTATAATCGGAAAAATAAAGTTACCAGGGATGGGAATCGAACCCACAGTGTTCCGCTTACCGGGAAGATGCCATGTCCACTAGCAAAAAAGCAGCCAATAGTTTGAGGTAAAACAAAATAGACAGAGGGTTTAGACTACTGTGAACTCTATGACCTATATTAACCTATTGAGGATAAACACACCTAATCGTGCAACTGAGCGTTGAGAATGTACCATCTAAAGGAATATATCAGAACTACATGAAAACTTTCTCCATTGGTTATTTAAAATAGAAATGAAAATTAAGGAGAAAAGATTTTTATTCAGATAAACGTGTGACAAGCTTTCGGGCAGTCACGCCCTTCAACAGGTAGCAAACTAAGGTAACAAACGACTTTATATAGGAATCTATTTGAGGTATATTTGCATATGTGATGTATATAGTACGGCGAAAATACAATTCAGGTTAAAATTTGCATATCTAAATTACTGATATATAACAACTACGTAAGCATGCTAATCGTGTAATGTTAATGAATTAAAAACGATACAAATTGCAGAATGGCTATGGTAAAACATGAATTCGGGAAAGTAACATGAATCTGCGCTAAAAAACTAAAACCTACGAAAGAGTTCAACCCGCCATCAGCGGCCACACAAGACCAATAGAAGGGGGGGGGGGGGGGGGGGGGGGGGTTTATCCGTTTTTTAAGTTTCTACATATATCTTGATATTGGTCAGGTAAATCAATATGGCGATTAATACTGTTTTTGGAAATGGATAAAATGGCCTCTATGATTAATCTTTGGTGTTTACTGGGAATGTTAGTATATAGGGTGGTGGGAGAAGCCAGATTGAAAGAATGGCCAGTATTAAGTGTGTGGTACTTAATATTAACGAAACGTTGTCCATTCCAGAATATTGGCGGACATCTTCTCTTTATAAATCTAAAAAAGGCAACCACGTAGTGTATTGGGTTGTTGGGCCTCGTCAGAATGTAGCCTAAGGACAAAGCAAGGTGGTAATAGAGACATTTAATAAATCAAACAAAAGGTCTTTCAGTTAATCCATCAGAGGATACTTTAATATACGAGGAATGTTCAAGAAGTAAGGTCAAAAATAAATAAAGGAAACTTGTTTCGTAAAATGATGTTTCAATTATCAACATAGTCCCCATTCAGTTCCACAGACCTGGTCCAGCGATGTTATGATTTTTTATCACCTCGGAAAAGTATTATGTTTCGAGGTCCTCAAGGTATCTATTTACATCGTCGATAGCTTCTTCATTTGATGAAAATTTTCTTCCTCCCAGCCTTTTCTTTAGATTTGGGAAGAGGAAGAAGTCACACGGGATTAAATATGGGGAATAAGGTGGATGAGGGAACAATTGGAATCTTAATTCGAACAATTTGTCAGCAATTCGACCTATGGCTCGGGGCATTATCGTGGTGAAAAATCACTTTTTTTTTCCTAGCCAATCCCGGACGTTTGGCACGCAATTTTACCTTTATTCGATCCATAAGTGTTACATAATACTCTACTGTTATCGTTTATTCATTTTTTGAACTAATAAATTAAAATTATTCCTTGGGAATCCCTAAAGACAGTGGCCATCACCTTTCCGGCTGACACAACAATATTTGCCTTCTATGGAGTCCTTTCGTCCGGACCTATCCACTGCTTTGATTGATGTTTGGACTCTGGTGTTGATTCTGGGGATAGCTGTTCGCATTCGTTTTTAGTTGACCGTAAGCAACCGGGGCTCCCATCTGGCAAATTGCTTCTTCATCTATATTTTTATTGAAGGATATGGTGTACCCTGTCTAATGAGATGCCTGTGGTCTCAGCAATCTCACGTATCTTCACTTGTCGATCTTTTAAAACGATTCAATGGATTTTTGATACCATTTCTGACGTGGTTACATCCATAGGTCGTCCATGACATGGTTAATCTTGTCTTGATATTTTCAACCATGTTTAAATTCATTCATCTAATAATAAATGGTCTTAAATTATGGGGCTGAGTCCACACGAACTTCGTTTAGCTCGGCCTTAATTTGAGAAGACTACCAACGTTTAAAAAATAAATGTTTGATAATATCTCGGAATTCATTTTGGAATCAATCGATACGGCGTGAGCGCGACATCGAAACATCATACTTTTCCCGAGGGGATAAAAAAATCAGAACATCAGTTGTGTGGAACTGAATGGGGACTATGTTGAAAAATAAAACATCCTTTTCTAAAAACAAATTTTCTTTATTTATTTTTACTTTACTTATCGAACAGCCCTCGTATATCGGTTATTTATCCCACTGTTGTGTACAAGGCGCAGTTTACTGGTGCTAACTGGGTTCCCCGTGCACAAACTCATGACAAGGAGGGACGTGCTGCCACAAGAATCAGGATGGTGGAGTTATTTAAGAAGTGGGTTTTAATCTGTGGCATCGATTATCTGTGTGTACTTGGGCACCGCCTCCCGCTGTGTTCCTCCGGCCAGCCAATGAGCAGCGAGATAATTAGAGCGACGACAGGAAGGCGACACCGGGGCAACACCAGCCGATCGATCGTTTGGCAGCATTGATTAACCCTCGGCTGCATTGGAACGGCTTCTGTCCGCTCTAAGCTGTACGGAGACACCTGTCACTCGGCCGGTCTGTTGAGGCTGCTCTGGCACATAAATATATACCTTAAATATATAAGTAATATTTACCCTACATATACATATATACACCCCATATATACCTTACATACATATATACATTAAATCCAAAAGACAAAAAACCTCTCGCAATCAGTATCTTTTATTATTACAAATAACAGACGCTAGCTTTCGAACAATTAGTTCTTCAGGCTACATATATCTTGCATACATATATACACGCCATATACCTCACATACATACGTACATACACGCCATATATCTTGCATACAT